CTCTGAAAGAGTGACCGCTGGCCTGTAAATGAGTGAAAACTGCAGAGTTCTGGCCGTTAGATGTAGCTCGTCTGTGTTGGGACATTCTGAAACTCTCAGACTGAAGAAGTCTCTTGGGAAACGTTTCATTAGAGAAGAACCCGTCCAGAAGACCTATACGAGTTTTTTCTTTTTGATTTACAAAAAAGCTTCTTTTGCTAACAGCAGTCACACTTTTAAGTTATTCTTGAGGAAAATTGCATTTTTCTTTTTCTTTTTTTCAATAAAATGTATGAAATTAAGCTTCATCACTCACATTTATTTACTTTGACTTATTTTCCCTCCATTTTCTGTGTCATAAAAGTGAAAAGACACATTATGGAGTCTGCGCTCTTAAGTGTTTATCTGAAGAAACAGCAAAGCGGTGCTATTTTTTTCTGAAATGCTTGTAAAATAACTCTCAATAAGCCAGTTTAATGCTTTAAAATCCCCCAGTTTCTCATTTAAATCCTTCATTTGGGCTCTACAAGTGGAACTGCTTTGGTTTGGATTCCACCTTATTGTAACTCCACAAGCCCCCCTCTTCCAACGCTTTTCAAAGCAAGAGGAGAATGAAGGCGACCTAATTGTAGTTGGTAAGTCCAGAAATAATKTGAGGTAATAGTTCAGAGAACATCATATAAAACAGAAAAAACTGAACGGGTTGAAACATAACATGACCCAAACAGAATATAAAGATGTCTGCAAAGCACCGGGAGAAACTAAATACTTTTTTTTGCACTCTTAGAAACTCCACAACTAAATGCATTTAACGGCTAAATAAGTGGATTTTGCGTATTCCCTCTTTAACCCAGTGTTGTAAAATAAACAATTTATGGATCATTTTAATGGAGAGTTTGCTTTCTGTCCTCATTTTCTATAATGTTGAAGAGTTCTTCCCACAAAAAGGGACAGATGTGGCTGAGGTGGAGGGTGCAAAGGCTGCTGACGTCTGCTCATGAGCYGGTTTTTCTTCAAAAACAACTATTTTAAATGAGTTTGTTGTTCTTTTGGCTTGCTCCCTTCTTCAGGTTTCACTACAGTGAGCAACCAGATTCTGGCATTTGACACCATCCYGACRGGGTCAAACCTGCAGCCTCAGGATTACAAGACCKCAGCCCAGACTGAGCGAATGCAGACCAACATAAAACCTTTTAAATGGAATAACTAAAAAATGTGAAAAGGTGGAGGAAAAMCAGTGGTACAAGAGCATCAGAACCCCTGGTTTTTAACGTTTACAGCTATAAACAGGGTTAAACGACAAAGTCCTATCAAAATAAAAGGTTTTATCGGAGAGTTTTACAGCAGTGAAACACATTCCTGTTGACCAATAACAGAGATCCTGGCTGTTATTGATGAAAATGTTTTACTGCATAATAAATTGACGTAAAATGAAATTGCTCACATTCAGTGGTGTGTTTACACACTTCTGGTTGCGCAAACTTTTAATTTGCGGCGCTGTGCAGGTAAAAATAAATCACGCTTAAYGCTGTACGAAGTGTTTGCTTTTGTGGTAATATTACACCAGAACAACGACTGCGTGGCACATTTGCTAAAACTCGTGTTCAGCTCTTGAACACTGGYGTCAAAGCGGTTCCTGCTTTTGTGTGGGGGAACTTTTGAGTGCGACTTTCACGCACCGCCTTGTGGGAAACACGGGGCCGCTTTACGGCCTCCTGAGCTCCAGACAAGTTACCAGATTCCAAAAAACTGAGTTTGTCTAAAAGCCGAATTATCACTCAAATGTTGAGCYGAGTTGTGCTAAAGTGAACTTCTCTGAACTGCACGTTTTAGTGTCAAAGCCAGAGCGTCACTTGTTTGTGTGAAATTAAATTTTTTAACTGCTGAACTCAAATTATCTTTATGTTTGCGGCCACGTCTGTCTGTAAAGTGAGACGGAATCACCAAACTGTGCAGATGAATCGTAATATCAAAATATTTCAATAATTCTTCCTTTTTTAACATTACAAACTGCTGCTTGATCTAAATTAATTAGGAGGGTGTGAATGCTGCCCCCCTCCTCCTCCTGTGAGCTTTGGCCACACTTCACGGTGTGAGCCTTGGCGCCGACGGGGTGACAAAATGTGACTCCAACAAACTGAGGCAGAAGCCAAGCAGCCGGCTTCCCACAGCCACACCTCAGCCTGCTGGCAGAGCCACGACACATCATCTTAGTGCTTTTTAAAAGTGTTGCTTTTGTGTTATTTGACTGAGTCAAGAGGAGGAGCTGCAGTGAGGAACAAGCACTACAAAAAAGGAACAAAAAGCTTATTTGTAAGTGATTTTGAGTTACATGGTGGACACAAGGACATAAAAAGCTACCTACTTCTGTTATTCCTACTACTATACTACTACTACTACTACTACTACTAATAAAATAACTCCAGGTTTTGCAGATGCTTGTAACTGCTTTCAGTAGTGTAAACACTTTTATTTTTAGGAAACATAATGCTCATTGAACTCTGAATAGTATAAAAGCTCATTTTATGTTGCTCTTCACTTAAAAAAGTCTTCCTTTACTGTAATTTCCCCTTAGACATGATGATATTTTAAAGCAACATAAGGTGTATGACCAACAGGTGGCGCAAAATGTTTAAAAATAAATGACAACTTATTTTTAATGAGCGTGATGTAATGACGTAATTCTGTCACCAGGGGGCGCTGATGTACCGAAGACAGATTTTTACACAGGTGGTAAAAAACCCCGCAGAAAAGAGGAAAAGTGCTTGAAAGCAGCTCTTTGGATAATATTTTAAAATAAATCATTTAACCTACAAATAAATGTGAAC